CCTTTTTCTCAGGTTCTCCAACATTCTAGTGTAATTATAAATTATAATTTGCTTTGTTATTCTGTCTTGTATTTTGACTTGCAATGTTTTGTTATTTTCTAGTGTAATTATAAATTATAATTTGTTTTTGTTATTTTGTAATTTAAAGCTGACAGATGTTGATAGTACACGTGAATATATCTTTTAACAAGTTTTGTGTCAATCTTGAATATCTTTTTCCCAGGTTCACCATTCTAGTGCAATTATAAATTATATATAATTGTAATTATAAATTATATAATTTGTTTTGTTATTCTGTCTTGTATTTTGTCTTGTAATGTTTTCTTATTTTTCAGTGTAATTATAAATTATAATTTGTTTTTGTTATTTGCTTTGTTATTTTGTCATTTAGGCATAAATTACTCGAAACGTCGGATGAAATTGTATCGAGTGTTTGGATGCCCGATGAGTCAATAGCTAATAATTCCAACCTCAATTATCTTGTAAGAGCAGGCAAGGTATCTGGGCACTCGGATGTGTCTCGCGAGATATCCAGGTAATTTTTTGCTCTAGCCGAGTATCTCGGATGGGTAGCAGGGTACTGGCTCTAATTACGTCAGCATGCTATAGGCTGCGCATGTAGCATATTGGAACAGGCACTGATACAGGCTCTTTCTGCAACATCGACCGACTGTTCAGCTGCTGCTTGCAAATTGCATTTCGCGTTTCATCTCTGCTCCGCGTCTGACTTCAGATAGCCTTCGGACGCGACGCTGCACTTGCTCGTTGTTCGTCGACCGAATTTCGTAGACGTAACAATAAGCGAGCAGAAAAAAATCAATATCCAAGATTATCGTCGGACAGCGGGGTCAATCGCCCGTAAAGTGAAACTCGTACGTGACACGAACGTGACAAATTGGGCCGCGATCAACAAAAGAAGGGGGTATTCTCAAACATTCTCTTTTAACTTCTCTCAACTGAGAAATTCGTAGCGCAAATTCGACACTTAACCCATTCGAGACCAAGAATTATTTGAACCACTTGCGCTGGCAACTGATTTGCGGACCATAACGAGTGACCGAACCGTACACAATAATTCCCTTTCTTTTTCTTTTGAACTCGTCGGTATGGTATCGCTGGATAGAAATTATTAAGAAGTAATAAATTTATCATTTGTTTTGCCTCGATTATACTTAAATACACTTGAAACTGAGAAAACATTGCAATTTTGGGACAAAGAATTCTCGACGTGCGTGGCAAGAGGTTAACCCCTTGCGCTGGCAACTGATTGCGGACTATAACGAGTGACCGAACCGTACATAATAATTCTTTTTCTTTTTCTTTTGAACTCGTCGGTATGATATCACTGGATAGAAATTATTGAGAAGTAATAAACTCATTTGTTTTGCCTCGCTTATACTTAAATGTACTTGAAACTGAGAAAATATTGCAATTTTGGGACAAAGAATTCTCAACGTGTGTGGCAAGAGGTTAACCTCTTGCGCTGGCAACTGGTTTGCGGACCATAACGAGTGACCGAACCGTACACAAATAATTCGTCGCTTTCTTTTTCTTTTGAACTCGTCGGTATGATATCGCTGGATAGAAATTATTAAGAACTAATAAATTTATCATTTGTTTTGCCTGGGTTACATTGAAATATACTTAAAGCTGAGAAAACGTTGCAATTTGGGACAAAAAGTTCTCGACGTGCGTGACACGTCATTCGAGCGCAAGGGGTTAAAGACAAACAGAAGAAAACGTTCAGGAGGTGAGAAATTAAAATTAAATAATATGGTAGCACGTATGGTGCATAATTGACATATTCGGAATATTTTTATTACGAAGGAACCGTTACATGTGTGCGATGCATAAATAAAAGGAAACACGATACAATTAAAGTGGAAGAACATTTATTTCAAAAGTAATGAAAAAACGCGAGATCATTATTTTAGGTTTGGTAATCAAAGTTTGAAGATGATCCATGTATAAATTTTGAGAAAACATTAATTAGAAAATTTTCATCCCATGAACACTTATCTTTTTTATTTATCGCAATTGAAACATTCTTCCAAACGCAATCCGGTAACTGATTTACGGTATAATCTATGATAATTGAAACATTACCTTATACAAGCAAATTTTAATCTTTACCTCATCTCAAAACGATCTTACCTTCACGGCTACTTTCTTCGCTAATAATTAATAACTCAAGTTCAAGATCATTACACATTACACGGTGTGTAACTCGTCTCGAATGGGTTAATACGTAGAATCCTAAAGAGATATAGAAGAAAAAAAGGAAAAAAAAGAAACATATCAAGTATCGTTTCATCGTCGAAGTAAATACTTACGGAGCGAGTGAGAGGCTTTCGAGGCGACAATTTTCGGAAAGCTCGCGTGCTGGACTGGCATTTGGGCTACCTGCAACAGAAACGCGACATAGTTCGTGTCAGGGCATCTCACCTAGAATTTGGCCGCGGGGCCTATTTCGAGCGTCGAAGCTTCGCTCGGAAGCGTATTTTAACGGGAATGGCATGCATGTTCCAGTAAACCAACCGTGTATCAGCGGTGCTGACTTGGTTAAAACCCGAGCTAGAAGACGTTGCGAATTAATTTCAGCTGGAAAGTACGACTTTATAGAGGGAGGAGATTTTAAAAATCCCATTAACGGAGATGCCGTTGCTCGGCATTAATAGCTAGGTTAGGCTCGAGCGTGGTTCCTTTTTCAATGGGCAATGGCGTCAGCGCGGGCGTGACGCAGGAGGAAGCGATCTCGCTGCTTGAATAGGTACCTGTTTTCGCAGACAGGTGACACAAACACGCGCAACACGTGAACAGTGTGCAAACGCGTGAGAACCTCGGGATAGACCAAGAGGGCAATGACTCCTAGAACAGCCACGGGTGCGCCCCGGCAGACGAATCTCCGCGACGAATAGAACTCGCTGCTAGCCGTCTTGAAAAAAGTACCTACGACCGTCTGTGCCGAGAGCCTGAACCCACCCCCGCTCGAGATTTCCATTGCCAGGGACCTGTCTGCCCGACACGGGCAAACCCTCCTCGGAGAAGAGAAACCTATTATGTACATTTCGCGGTGCGTCTGTCGCGTCTCCCCGCTTCCTTTTCTCTTCTCTTCTCTTCTCTTCTCTTCTCTTCTCATCCCCGCCGTCTTTCTTCCTTCTTCTTTTTCATAAATTGTGCAACGCATCAGTGCGCTATTCGATAAGAGTGGATATCGAATCGCGGTGTCGTAAGTCGACCAGAAACCAACCATCTGCGAATTTCCTCTTGGGACACTTGGAGCTGCGGAAGGTGGTTTTCGAGGGTTCGTGAAAACCACGTTTAAAAAACACGTTTAGCGAGGAAGGAAAGTAGAGTAAAAGGATCGCAATGAGCAATTGAAGATTGGGGAAAAGTTCTATGCACTGACGAATCGAAGTTCAAGGTAACCGTTTAGTGCCCGCAGTAAAACACGAAGGAGAATCCATAATGGCGTGGGGTTGTTTTGGAGAGAAAACAGGCGATTTAGCTCAAATAAATGTTATTTTAAACAGAGAGAGATATCTGAACATTTTACGTGACAACGTTCAACCTCTTGCGCTGGAATAACGTGCCACGCACGTCGAGAACTTTTCGTCCCAAATTGCAACATTTTCCCCGTTTTATGTATATTTAAATGTAACCCGGGCACAACAAATGATTAATTTATTTATCTCAATAATTTCTATCCAGTGATGTCATACCGACAAGTTCAAAAAGAAAGCGAATTATTGTATACGGTTCGGTCACTCGTTATGGTCCGCAATCAATTGCCAGCGCAAGTGGTTAACCTCTTGCCACGCACGTCGAGAATTTTTTGTCCCAAAATTGCAATATTTTCTCAGTTTTAAATATATTTTAAGTATAACCCCGGCAAAACAAATAATAAATTTATTACTTCTTAATAATTTCTATCCACTGATATCATACCGACGAGTTCAAAAAGAAAGAGAATTATTGTATACGGTTCGGTCACTCGTTATGGTCCGCAATCAGTTGCCAGCGCAAGTGGTTAATTGGAAACTTCATTTTTATGGGATGATAGTGACACACGCCAAAAATATGCAGAAATTATTTGAATCAACTTCAAAGTGATAATTCACCACTGAAAATTATAAAGTGGCCGTCCCAATCTCCCGACTTGAACCCCACTGAGAAACTCTGGGACGAACTAGATAGGTACGAAAATGTCGTCCTACTTCAAAAACAGATTTATGGAACATTCCGCAGCGAGAATGGAGTAGCGTATCAGTGGAAACTTTCAAAAAAATTGAATGCCAAGAGTAGTGGAAACGGCGATAAAGAAGCAAGGTGGATTCTTCGACGAAATGAAGATATATTTTATTATTTTTTTGTTTTCTGATTTCCAAAATATTCTATATAATATATAGATTTCTAAAATATTTATACGATATATTCTTCCTTTGGTACATGTATCTTTGAACGAGGAAAAATTCACATTTTTCAACGATTATTTCATTTTTTTTAGACTTCAATCCAAATGTAGCAAACGTTTTAAGAATTACAGGCGAGAGTGTAATTGATCGTTAATCTTTTAGGCGATTTGCCTAAACTTTCTGATGAGAGACAATCACGTGACACGACGATACGTATTAACATCCCTTCGCGGCGGAATGTTTGAAATGACAGTTGCGTGTAAGAAATATATTTATTAAAAACTACCATATTAGTCGAAGTTTTACAAATAATTTTATTATTGTACTATTGATACCGTGATACATGAAACATGACGGATTTTTCGGCGAAAAGCCACCTACCGTAACCTAACCTAAATTTAACCACTTGCGCTGGCAACTGATTGCGGACCATAACGAGTGACCAAACCGTATACAATAATTCGTCGCTTTCTTTTTTAACTGATCAGTATGATATCACTGGTTAGAAATTATTGAGAAGTAATAAATTTATTTGTTTTGCCTGGGTTAAATATACTGAAAACTGAGAAAATATTGCAATTTTGGACAAGAGATTCTCGACGTGCACGTCATTCCAGCGCAAGAGGTTAACTGATTGCGGACCATAACGAGTGACCGAACCATGTACAATACAAATTTGTCGCTTTCTTTATCTTTTGAACTCGTCGGTATAATGCCACTGAATAGAAGTTATTTAGAGGTAATAAACTTGTCATTTGTTTTGTCTGGGTTAGACCTAAATATACTTAAAACTGAGAAAATATTGCAATTTTGGACAGAAAATTCTCGACGTGCGTGGCACGTTATTCCAGCGCAAGAGGTCAATCTAAACCTAACCTAAACATTTTTTCATTTTCTGGTAAGATTTCCAAAATATTTATGCAGCGTTCTTTGCACAATAATGAGAGAGAATTCGTTCAACGATCATTTCATTTCATTCCAAGACTTCGATATAAATATAGCAAGTATCCTAAGAACTACAAGTCGGGAGTGTAATTTATCACCAAAAAAAAAAAAAAAATTAGTTCACATTTTTCAACGATCGCCTCGTTTCTTTCAAGACTCTCGATACAAATACAGCAAATGCCCAAAAAGATTTACGAACGGCAGTGTATATCGGCAACGCGTGCGCACCTAGAAAGGAAACTCGACCTTAACAAACTTAGCGACCGTTTGAAGAACCGTGCAAAGCACAAATCGAGTTACGGATACGTGGATTGCGTTTTCGCCGTGCGGTTGGATGGGCGCGTCGTGCGTCACCGTGTCAACTATGCATCGCGATTCCGATTGCACCTACATGCACACAGCGCACGTTCGCTGCATCGAGCCACTAAATTGATAAATTTGCATGACCCGCTATTCACGGACACTGTCGTTCCATGGACGCTTACTACCTACAACGATTACACAATCACGCTCTCCTTTCGAGAGTTACAAGGACCGTACGCGATTCCGCTCCTCACGGCGAACGCAAGCAAGCAAGCAAGCAAGCAAGCAAGCAAGCAAGCAAGCAAGCAAGCGAGCGAGCGTCCCTGCTTTCATCGAAGCGGGCTTTAAACGATTTAATCGTCGTAAACCGCCGTTGTTGTTCCACAAAGTAAAAGGCAATTTGCTTTTGTTCGCCTGTGAGTATTCCGCCCACAGCAAAGAATTATCATCGTCTACCTTATCGTTGCTCTTTCTTTGTTTTTCTTTTTCTTTTTTTTTTTTTTTTCTTTCTTTCTTTTTTTTCCTCTACGAGAAACCACTCACTGTTGATGACAGCAACCACCAACGTCGTCGTAATAACGACAGTGGCTTTTTTCAGTTAGCACTTTAGACTCGGCTGAAATTTCATGGCTTAGTTTTATAGCTTAAAAAAGCTAAATATAACTGAACTAAATAAAATATAAATATATTTAAATATTTAAAATATATTTAAAATATAGCTAAACTAAATAAAATATAAATATATTTAAATATTTAAAATATATTTAAAATATAGCTAAACTAAATAAAATATAAATATATTTAAATATTTAAAATATATTTAAAATATAGCTAAACTAAATAAAATATAAATATATTTAAATATTTAAAATATATTTAAAATATAGCTAAACTAAATAAAATATAAATATATTTAAATATTTAAAATATATTTAAAATATAGCTAAACTAAATAAAATATAAATATATTTAAATATTTAAAATATAGCTAAACTAAGTAAAGCTAAACTAAATAAAATATAAATATATTTAAATATTTAAAATATAGCTAAACTAAGTAAAGCTAAACTAAATATAACTAAATAAAATATAAATACATTAAATATAAATACATTAAATATTTAAAATATATTTAAAATATAGCTAAACTAAGTAAAGCTAAACTAAATAAAATATAAATGTATTTAAATATTTAAAATATAGCTAAACTAAGTAAAGCTAAACTAAATATAACTAAACTAAATAAAATATAAATACATTTAAATATTTAAAATATATTTAAAATATAGCTAAACTAAGTAAAGTTAAACTAAATAAAATATAAATATATTTAAATATTTAAAATATAGCTAAACTAAATATAACTAAACTAAATGAAATATAAATACATTTAAATATTTAAAATATATTTAAAATATAGCTAAACTAAATATAACTTAATAAATTAAGCTACAGTTTAGCTTAATAAATTAGCTATAGCTTTATAGCTTAATATTCGAGTAATTTTCTTTTCTGTTTCTTTTTTTTTTCTTCTGCGTAACGTGAAGAATTTCTTTTTCTTTTTGTATATAACAGAAGGACATACGTGAATAATTCGTTCAAACAGCATTGGTCATCGACTGTGAATCGCATTAGCATAACATTTGTTTCGCAGTTCGGTAGGAACACGCGACGCTTGCGTAACTCCAATGAAATTGTCGTAAACCGTGAACAACACGAACAGGGAGGGGAAGGGAGAGC